CAAGCAATCTGTTCCTGTTGGCCTCTCAAAGTGCTAGGAATACAGGCATGAGCCACTGCACCTGGCCGAGACTTTTAAAAATATATAATAAAGCTGAGGAAATAAATCTTAAATAAAACAGCTCTTGGGTGAAAAATGCCACTTTATAAAAGCCTTTCTGACAAAACATTATAACTAAAATTTTACTTAATAATGCCATTGTTTGAATTTTGATGTTAATATAATAAAGTGATTTAAAAAGTATTCCTGCCAGGTGTAATAGTTCATGCCTGTAATCCCAGCACTTTGGGAGCCCAATGCAGGCAGATCATCCGAGGTTGGGAATTTGAGACCAGCCTGACCAACATGGAGAAAACCCTGTCTCTACTAAAACATACAAAATTAGCCAGGTGTGGTGGCACATGCCTATAATCCCAGGCGGCTGAGGCAGAAGAATCACTTGAACCCAGGAGATTAAGATTGCAGTGAGCTGAGATCACACCATTGCACTCCAGCTGGGCAACAAGAGGGAAACTGTCAATCAATCAATCAATCAATCAGTTCATTCATATGTGGCTCATGCCTGTAATCCCAGCACTTTGGGAGGCTGAGGCAGGAGGATCACAAGGTCAGGAGTTTGAGACCTGCCTGGTCAAAATGGTGAAACCCCATCTCTACCCAAAATACAAAAATTAGCCAGGCATGGTGGCGGGCACCTGTAGTCCCAGCTACTCGGGAGGCTGAGGCAGGAGAATGACTTGAAACCAGGAAGCGAAGGTTGCAGTGAGCCGAGATCGTACCACTGCACTCTAGCCTGGGCGACAGAACGACAGTCTGTCTCAAAAAAAAAAAAAAAGAAAGTATTCATATGTAAGTGATGGCTCATTATTGTGTAGCTGTATTAACCAATGAAGCCAGTGGGCCCATAATGAAAATAGCTTGTCTTTTGTGTGGTGTGGAGTTGTTCCTGTATTAAAACACGGACTGGCTTTTTTCCTTTGATTTAAATTTTAATAAATAATTGCCCTAATTGAGGGGAGGGAATACACACACACACACACTCACTCTCTCTCTCTCTCCCTCTCTCCCCCACCCCAGAAAACAAAATGTTCAAAAATCAGAAACTTGGCCGGGCGCGGTGGCTCAAGCCTGTAATCCCAGCACTCTGGGAGGCCGAGGCGGGTGGATCACAAGGTCAAGAGATCAAGACCATCCTGGTCAACATGGTGAAACTCCGTCTCTACTAAAAATACAAAAAATTGGCTGGGCATGGCGGCGCGTGCCTCTAATCCCAGCTACTCAGGAGGCTGAGGCAGGAGAATTGCCTGAACCCAGGAGGCGGAGGTTGCGGTGAGCCGAGATCGCGCCATTGCACTCCAGCCTGGGTAACAAGAGCGAAACTCCGTCTCAAAAAAAAAAAAAAAAATCAAACTTTTTGAGTGACAACATGATGCTCAAAGAAATGCCCCTGCAGAATTTGTATTTCTGCACTGGGGATGCTGAACTGGTATGATGAAGCAAATATTCCAAAATCTGAAATCCACATTTCTTCTGGTCCCAAGCATGATGGATAAAGGACACTCAACCCACACATCCTGTAAAACCTAAAATGGAGCCGGGCGTGGTGGCTCAAGCCTGTAATCCCAGCACTTTGGGAGGCTGAGGCGGGTGGATCACGAGGTCAAGAGATCGAGACCATCCTGGTCAACATAGTGAAACCCCATCTCTACTAAAAATACAAAAAATTAGCTGGGCATGGTGGCACGTGCCTGTAATCCCAGCTACTCAGGAGGCTGAGGCAGGAGAATCGCCTGAACCCAGGAGGCGGAGGTGGCGGTGAGCCGAGATTGCGCCATTGCACTCCAGCCTGGGTAACAAGAGCGAAACTCCGTCTCAAAAAAAAAAAAAAAAAAAACCTAAAATGGAGAAACATTCCCATTTACCTTCTTAGGCTTGGCCCCGTCTACACTCACATTTTTGGGTAACAGTTCCCCAGTTACAGTAAATCCAAATGCACTAGTCATGAGTTATTTGGCAAGAGGAAGTTCATTTTAAACATTACTGAAGTAACGCTACCTGTCTCAGCTTCCTTACGTCCAAAGCACTGTATGTTCCTTTGAAGAAAGGTGCCACCCGGGGCACTGGCACTGCCTACGCATGTGAAAAGGTAAAGCAGGAGGGGGTGTTTTTCACAGTCTCATCTTGTTGGGGATCATGGACTTGGATTTGTCCTAAGACCAAAGTGTCCCTTCACACCTCTGTGCTTCTGTCCCTCCTGTCTCATCCCTGACCTTCTTGCCCAGTGTCTCCACTCCTCTTCTTTTTTTTTTTTTCTTTTGGAGATGGAGTTTCGATCTGGTTGCCCAGACTAGAGTACAATGGTGCGATCTCGGCTCACCACAACCTCCGCCTCCCAGTTTCAAGCAATCATCCTTTCTCAGCCTCCTGAGTATCTGGGATTACAGGCATGTACCATCATGTCTGGCTAATTTTGTATTTTTAGTAGAGATAGAGTTTCTCCATGTTGGTCAGGCTGGTGTTGAACTCCTGACCTCAGGTGATCTGCCTGCCTCGGTCTCTCAAAGTGCTGCGATTACAGGCGTGAGCCAGTGTACCCAGCCACCTCTTCTTAGCATTTAATTTAAAAACCTGATTCTCACCCAGGTGCAGTGTTCATGCCCATAATCCCAGTACTTTGGGAGGCCGAGGCAGGCAGATTTCCTGAGGTCAGAAGTTCAAGGCCACCCGGGCCAATGTGGTGAAACCCTGTCTCTACCAAAAGTACAAAAATTAGCCTGGCATGGTGGTACACACCTGTGATCCCAGTTACTTGGGAGGCTGAGGCAGGAGAATCACTTGAACCCGGGAGGCAGAGGTTTCAGTGAGCCAAGATCATACCACTGCACTCCAGCTTGGGTAACAGAGCGAAAATCCATCTCAAAAAAGAACACAAACAAACAGCCGGGCACGGTGGCTCAAGCCTGTAATCCAGCACTTTGGGAGGCCGAGGCAGGTGGATCACAAGGTCGAGAGATCGAGACCAACTTGGTCAACATGGTGAAACCCCGTCTCTACTAAAAATACAAAAAATTAGCTGGGCATGGTGGCGCATGCCTATAATCCCAGCTACTCAGGAGGCTGAGGCAGGAGAATTGCCTGAACCCAGGAGGCGGAGGTTGCGGTGAGCCAAGATTGCGCCATTGCACTCCAGCCTGGGTAACAAGAGCGAAACTCCGTCTCAAAAAAAAAAAAAAAAAAAGAAAAAACAAACAAAATCCCAATTCTCCTGGAGTCTTGGACACCGATCTCCCTAGTTCCCTCACTGGGCTTCTGATGCCCTCATTTGTCCTTGGCAGCTGGTCCTGCGGTTCAGTTCTGCTCGGTAAGCTCAGATGTACCTTTATACACATTTGGCATGAATGACTGAGTGACTCATAGGTAGGTTTTACAAACAAAACGTACCTAAAAATAAATTAAGCACTTTCCAACTCATCTTGCCTTATCTAAATTGTGCCTAAAAGTGCTAAATGTGTGGTTTTTAAAACTGAGCAGCCAGGTGCGGTGGCTCACGCCTGTAATCCCAGAACTTTGGGAGGCCGAGGTGGGTGGATCACTTGAGGTCAGGAGTTCGAGACCAGCCTGGCCAACATGGTGAAACCCCGTCCCTACTAAAATACAAAAAAAAAAAGATTAGCTGGGCGTGGTGGTGGGTGCCTGTAATCCCAACAACTAATTAGGAGGTTGAGGTAGGAGAACTACTTGAACCTGGGAGGCAGAGGTTGCAGTGAGTGGAGCTCATGCCACTGCACTCCAGCCTGGGCAAAAGAGCAAGACTCTGCCTCAAAAAAAAAAAAAAAAAAAAAAAAAAAAAAAAGGCATCTCCATTTTATTACCTCTTTTCCTAACATTTCCCAAATAAATCTCTACACTGATAGCTTTCTTGATAAATGTCTTTCTTGAAGAACACACTCTTCCCCAAGAATCTGTATCAGAGATTTGAATATCATGCTCAGTTAAATTCAACTACTATTTATAGAGCATCTCAAAGTACAAGGTCCTAAGGTAAAAATCAGATATTCCATAATTTCTCTTCTGAATTTGATTTTTAAGCATAGACCGATAAGCCAAATTTGACTTAGGAATATTTAGCTACTTTATAAGCAATAAATTATTTTTCCTGCAGCAAAAATAAAATGGGTAGGTAGCTCAGGTATGAAACAAATTTTAAAACCCATTTTATTAAATGTAACTTTCCTATACATTTAAAATTATTTCCTGATAAAAAGCAAAAAACAAAAACAAAAACAAAGCCCACAAAAACCGTTTTGTTTCTTTTTAAAATATTCATGGCTAGGAGTGGTGGCTCACACCTGTAATCCCAGCACTTTGGGAGGCCAAGGTGAGCAGATCACCTGAGGTCAGGCGTTCGAAACCAGTCTGACCAACATGGTGAAACCAGTCTCTACTACAAATACAAAAATTAGCTGGGTTTGGTGGCATGAGCCTGTAGTCGCAGTTACTCAGGAGGATGAGACAAGAGAATCGTTTGAACCCTGGAGGCAGAGGTTGCAGTGAGCCAAGTGCCACTGCACTCCAGCCTGGGTGATAGAGCAAGACTCCATCTCAATAAATAAATAAATAAAATATAGTATTCACAACTCTTCTCTTGTGCAATTTAAAAAATTTTAATCTACCACCCCTTATCTTTGTTATCCCTCAAAAGCTTTGAGCAAGAGCAACAATCTGATGCAACAATTTACACATGGATTTTTGGTTTGCTTTGCTAGGTTACTCTAACTGACCCGGATGATGGTCACATGCACACTGGGACTCCTGCTGCCAGGGGAGCAAGGTCACAGCTCAAAGGTATTGGTAAAGAAACCTAATTCTTAAGTTAAGGGCCAAGGCTATGCAAACAGAACATCACATCTGATAAGCCCAATGAACGTTCTGTGTTGACAGTGGGGTAAAGGGTGTGTAGGTGGCAGTAGCAGAGAAGACTGAATGGGGACTGAACTTACTTCAGAACCTGAAAGAGTCCAGGTGTCACGGATGTTGGTCTCACCATTCCAGCTCCACTAATGGTCCCCAGATGAACCTGAGGATAGTAGACTGTTCGGAGGGCTAATCTCGAAGACTGCAACCGTGTCTTAATGACTTCTAGTGGACAAGTGAAAATAGCACCAACTGTACCTCCGCACCTGTAAGAAAGGCAACCAAAGCATATGAGAGAAGCTACACTATCCTCGACACAATGGAACGCGAAGTTTAGCTCTTCTCTCTAAATCGGCAGGATGCAGTGGCTCACGTCTGTAATCCCAGCACTTTGGGAGGCCGAGGCGGGTGGATCACTTAAGATTAGGAGCTCGAGACCAGCCAGGCCAACATGGCGAAACCCTATCTCTACTAAAAATACAAAAATTAGCCGGGCGTGGTGGCTGTAATCCCAGCTACTCGGGAGGCTGAGGCAGGAGAATGGCTTGAACCTGCGACGCAGAGGTTGCAGTGAGCCAAGATCACGCCATTGTACTCCAGCCTGGGCAACAGAGCAAGACTCCCATCTCAAAAAAATAATAAATAAATAAGTTGAAATTCCAGAGCTACAGAGATATCTGCTGTTCCCAAGTTAGCACATCTAGCACACCCTCTGGGGCTTTCCATTCTTGGCATTTTAACCTAACCCATTCCCAGTACCTAGGTATTCATGGAAGACTCTAATCTAAAGTATTTTTGCACACTCAAACAAAATAGTTCATTCAGATGAAGATATTATTTTAAAAATCCATTTTTACCCCAATACAGACCCTTCTTAAAATTTTATTAATTACTTTTGGCCAGGCACTGTGGCTCACACCTGTATTACTAGTACTTTGGGAGGCTACAGCTGGTGGATCACTTGAGCATAGGGGTTCGAGACCAGCCTGGCCAACATGGTAAAACCCAATTAAAAAAAATACACACACACAAAAATTAGCCAGGTGTGGTGGTACACACCCGTAATGCCTGTAATCCCAGCTACAAGGGAGGGTGAAGCAGGAGAACTGCTCAAAGGCGGGAGATGGAGGTTGCTATGTCACTCGCTGCACTCCAGCCTGGGTGACAGAGTAAGACTGTCTCAAAAAAAAAAAAAAATCTCATTGAGCACTTTCAACAATGAAGTCCTTGTGTTGCCATGATTCACAACTAGTCAGTTCATCCTGTGTTTTCATTAGCCACACTGTCTCTCTGGATCAGGGTTCTCCTAAGCCAATTATTTGAGTATTACCCTTATAACATATTCATATCGAAATATTACCTGAATTACTATTTAAATATTTTTCTTCAAGACAACTCACTTATTTATCCTAAAATACCTACTTCCATCATCTCTTAAACAATACTATTCAAGAAATAGCATGTTTGATGGGCTACCTATAATTAACGATGTCAAGGGCCATAGACACATCCTCACCCGTGCCTACCAGTGGACACAGGGCCTCACTCTGGCAAACATCACTCTGATCTGATGAGTGCCTCAAGATCCAGACCTACGGCCTTACTCATTTTTGCATCCCTGGCATCAGGGCTCAATGGGTTCCAAAACAGTATTTACTAAGCAAAGGAATTATTCAGTTGAGATTTCAAGGAGAATGTCTTCCAAGGTTTCTAAATATTTGGAAAAAGTCTTCCTCACTAGACTGGGAGCTCCCTGGAGAAGAGCTATTCATCATTCTTGCAGCTAGAGTGTAGCAGGCACCTGGCAGGAAATAGGTGGGTCAATAATGACAGCGCACCAGCATCTCTGCCTGGGACAGGTAACCACAGGAATGAAGAACTGGCCTGGACATACAGAATGTTTAGGCAGCTTCCTGACTCCACTAGAGGCAAGTGTTGGAAATCTAGACGCAAACCTAGCACCTAACACAGACTCTGAAGGTAATGAATGAAGTAAAATCCCCATGTGGGATTATCTTATTTATTTATTTTGGGGGCATAGTTTCACTCTGTCACCCAGGCTAGAGTGCAGTGGTACGATCTCAGCTCACTGCAACCTCTACCTCCCTCGTTCAAGCGATTCTCCTGCCTCAGCCTTCCGAGTAGCTGGGACTACAGGTCCCAAATGTAATATTTTTGTGCTTTTAATAGAGAAGGGGTTTTACCATGTTGGCCAGGCTGGTCTTGAACTCCTGACCTCAAGTGATCCACCCACCTCGGCCTCCCAAAGCTGCTGGGATTACAGGTGTGAGCCACATGCCTGGACTATTTTTATTTTTATTTTTATTTTATTTATTTTATTTTATTTTATTTTATTTTTTTTTGAGACGGAGTTTCACTCTTGTTACCCAGGCTGGAGTGCAATGGCGCGATCTCGGCTCACCGCAACCTCCGCCTCCTGGGTTCAGGCAATTCTCCTGCCTCAGCCTCCTGAGTAGCTGGGATTACAGGCACGTGCCACCATGCCCAGCTAATTTTTTTTGTATTGTTAGTAGAGACGGGGTTTCACCATGTTGACCAGGATGGTCTCGATCTCTCAACCTCGTGATCCACCCGCCTCGGCCTCCCAAAGTGCTGGGATTACAGGCTTGAGCCACCGCGCCCGGCTATTTTTATTTTTAATCAAGTTGTGGGCCTAGCTTAATATTGTTCTGTATAATTTTCTCTAAGCACTAGAGTATATCTAAAGAAAATAGGCTATAATAAGAAATGTTTAAAAAAGATAGAAGTGGCCAGGTGTGGTGGCTCATGCCTATAATCCTAGCACTTTAGGAGGCTGAGGTGGGTGGACCACTTGAGCTCAGGAGTTTGAGACCCGCCTGGGCAACAGGTCAAAACCCTGTCTCTACCAAAAATACACACACACACAAAATGAGCTGGGTGTGGTGATGTATGCCTGTGGTCTCAGCTACTCAGGAGGCTGAGGTGGGAGGATGGCTTAAGCCCAGGAGGCAGAGGTTGCAGTGAGCTGAGATGGCGCCACTGCATTCCAGCCTGGGGGACAAAACCACAACTCGGTTTCAAAAAATAAATAAACAACAAAGATAAAAATTATAGACGTAAAAAACTTTCTAACCCATGTCTATTCATACAAAATGCTTTTACCTATCATAATAACCATGTCTAAAAAGGATAACATTTAAAGACACTGAAAAACCTACCAGCTACACAGTAAGATAAAGAAATATCTGAAATCCATTTGTGTTCAATAATGTTAACTTCAAATCACTGAAAAAAAGAGCTTCTGGGTAAATCCTTTCATCAGAAAGCCAGTACGTTCAAATACCATACAAGTCAACCACCTTTGCTTTGTCCCTAAGTAAACCACACTCATTACTTTGGCCAACTGTCATCCAAGTCTATGCCACTGATCAAAGGATGGTGTGTTTGTCCAGCAAAGCAAATGCCCTAGTAACAGTGAATAAGTGACCTCTTTGATGGTGGCAGGCCTTCTCATCCTGCTGGCCTTTTTTTTTTTTTGGATACAGGGGCTTGCTCTGTCGCCAGGCTGGAGTGCAGTGGCGTGATCTCAGCTCACTGCAATCTCTGCCTCCCAGGTTCAAACCATTCTCCTGCCTCAGCCTCCCAAGTGGCTGGGACTATAGGCATGTACCACCAGGCCCAGCTAATTTTTGTGTTTTTAGTAGAGAAAGGGTGAGCCACCGCGCCCAGCATTTTTTTTTTTTTTTTAAGAGACAGGGTCTTAGGCCGGGTGCAGTGGCTCACGCCTATAATCCCAGCACTTTGGGAGGCTGAGGCGGGTGGATCACGAGGTCAAGAGATCGAGACCATCCTGGTCAACATGGTGAAACCCCATCTCTACTAAAAATACAAAAAAATTAGCTGGGCATGGTGGCGCGTGCCTGTAATCCCAGCTACTCAGGAGGCTGAGGCAGGAGAATTGCCTGAACCCAGGAGGCGGAGGTTGCGGTGAGCCGAGATCGCGCCATTGCACTCCAACCTGGGTAACAAGAGCGAAACTCCGTCTCAAAAAAAAAAAAAAAGAGACAGGGTCTTGCTCTGTTACCCAGGCTGGAGTCCCCTCTCTACAAAAAAACAAACAAACAAACAAAAATTAGCCAGGCATGGTGGTGTGCACCTGTAGTCACAGCTACTAGGAAGGTCACCTGACCCCAGGGAGGTCAAGACTTCAGTGAGCTGAGATGGCACTACTGCACTCCTGCCTGGGTGAGAACCTGTCTCAAGAACATATAAAGAAATAGGCCGGACACATGGCTCACACCTGTAATCTCAGCACTCTGGGAGGCCAAGGTGGGCAGATTACTTGAGGTCAGGAGTTTGAGACCAGCCTGACCAACAACATGATGAAACCCCATCTCTACTAAAAATGACAAAAATTAGCTGGGCATGGTGGCAGGCACCTGTATTCCTAGCTACTCGAGAGGTTGAGGCAGGAGAATCACTTGAACCTGAAGGCAGAGGTTGCAGTGAGCCGAGACCATGCCACTGCACTCCAGCCTGGGTGATAGAGCAACACTCCGTATCAAAAAAAAAAAAAAAAAAAAAAAAAAAAAGACAGGTTTGTGGTGTACTGGAGGCCTGAGTGAATGCTATTTTATTGTAGATGGCGTTCAACCTACTAGAGCCCAACACTGGGAACTCCCACTGGTCCCACCAGCAGCTCATCCTCTAATCTCTTTTCTGCCTTCCTTGCCTCAAGGTCCTGTGGGCAGAACTAGGTGTCTTCCCTTCCTCTGGTCCCCATGCTCCTTGACATCAAGCCAATGGGACCTCTAGGAGGCAACAAGATTGGTTCAAAGTGGGAGTCACTGAGTGTCCTTCCCAAGCACACCACCCAGCCCCTTCTCATCCTGCTGGCTTGGTCTGATGCACCAGCTTCTAACTTGTAGGCGGCATCTGGCCACAGAGCAAGCTACCAGTCTCCCTGCCTTACAAGCTCTCTCAATCTGTAGCCCAGACCTACTAGGGCCTGGGGATAGAGTTGGGGACAATAATAGGAAAGTCCTCTCTGCCCTCCACACACCCCAGTGTTGACACACACAACAGTTCTTTTCTGCACAGTCTGGTCAATGGCAGCAGAGCAGAATCTTCCACCTAAGTCTTAGACTAGGATCCTCTTGGTTCATCTGAGGGCTCCATAGCCAGTGCTCAGACAGAAGGAAAAGTCATATTCAACCTCTGGTTGCATGCTGACACAGCATTAGCCTCACATAGTTAGAAAATGGAGTAATCTGATTGGCAAGCA